CCCCAGTCTCTCCTGCTTCCCTCCAAATGCCCTGGTCCCACGCACATGAGTTCTCTCCCAACCAGGCTCCCAAGGGGCCTCACCTCTGCCTCTCCTGCACCCCCCAGATCTTGGGGAGGACCTGCTGCCCCATCCTGCCCCAGGCCTGGGGGGATCACCCCGTTCTGAAAAACCATACCGAGGAGGTCACTGGAGTCTTTTCGTCTCTCTTCCCAGGACGAGATGGAATTTGGCTACGTGGAGGCACCCCACAAATCCTTCCCCGTGGTCTTTGACTCCCCCCGAGACAGGGGCCTGAAGGAGTTCTCCTATAATAAGATCCTGGTATGTGGCAAAGGGCAGAGTGGGAAACCCTTGGGTGGCTCCTGCTGTAGGACCCGATCGGTTTTGCCGAGTCCTGGTCCTTTAGGGGGCAAAAGGACACAGGTGGTGAACTATGGCAAATGGGGTGTCAGTGGGAGGTTTGAGCAAATATGCAAATATAATGCAAATTGCTCCATGTGGGAGGGGCTAGCTAATACAATCTTCTTGAGGACCTTTCTCCCCCAAGGGGGAGCCAACAGAAGGGTCAGCCCTGGGGAAACCAAACTGCCTTTTGAGGGGAATGCACCCTTGTTAAATCCCCATGGCTCTTACTTTTATGAGCTGGGGCCTCTCTTCAGGTAACAAAGATTTTCTGAACACCTACTGTGTGCCAGGCGTGTGCCCGTTTCCTATACACAAGAGCAGCTCTAGCAACTGTGCACTGAGTTCCAGGCACTCCCCAACGTGACAAGGTTACTCATTTAATCCAGGGGGCACCTAAAGTCTCTCCTTACTGAGGCTCAGAGAGGTTAAGTTTCTTGCCCAAGGCCACACAGCTCTGCCTCCAGAGCTCCTGCGCTTTACTGCCGGGCTAAACTAGAAAGGTCCTGAGGCTCAGGGTCTCTGCCTGTTACCGGCCCCCACACCCCAGTGCCCGGATAACCCCGGTGTCTGAGGGGGGGCTGTGGTGGGGAAGTTGGGTGCCCAGGCACACAGAGCAGGACATTCACCCCAGCCTGGCGGGGTCAGGGACGAGACCCAGCAAAGGGACAATGAGCCCTGCAGCGTGAGTCTGCGTCAAGGACTTGACCTGACCAGGGCATTTTCCCACTGATGTCCACTCTCATCTTTATCCTTCCCTTGTTTCCACTTTCTTTGGGTTAATTTGTCATCCCCACCCCCCAGCTGGAAACAGAAGCTGAGAGTTGTCAATCTTCTCCCTTCCTAATATGTGTTCAGAGCTGAGTGCTTCCCCAGAAGGACAGCTTCCATGTGCTGTGCTTTTATCACCTTTCTGTTCAAAGGGTTGTCCAATGTCCACTTGGACGTAGCCTGTGGTTCTCCAGAAGTCTCGCCTCATTTCCAAACACTGGGGGCTTTTCTAGTGGTTGTTCTCTTACTGGCTTGGACTTGAATTGCAGGGCGCTCAGAGAATGGAGGACTCTGTGAACAGTGAATAGAGGTGGTTTTCCTGTTCTAACTGACCCTTCCTTTTGGGGGGGTGGTGTATGTCTTGCTGGTCCTCCCACAGGGCCCCGACTTTGGATACGTAACCCAGGAAATCCCTTTCGCTGGCGCCTCTGGCCTCGACTCCTTCGGCAACCTGGATGTCAGCCCACCGGTGACCGTGCGCGGCAAGGAGTACCCCCTGGGCCGGATCCTCATCGGCAGCAACTTTCCTAAGTGAGAGGCAGGGCGGGAGGGAGGCGGAGGGCGGAGGGCACTGACCGCAGCATCCACCACGAACACAAGTCTCCAGTCTGAGAAGTGGAATCTAGAATCAAAGACTCAGAGGCCTAGATTCTTCCATTCGGAAGGTCACAGAATCTTAGGAGGAAACTCATAAACTGATGTTCATGGTCTTCGGCCTGCCTAGAATTGTATGAGCTTAATGAAACATGCACGTCTACATCTATATCTCAGGAGGCCTCACATAAAAAGCCAGATTCCCAGCCTCCTGAAAGTCAGAAGAGCTGGGGAGATGTGCAGTTTGATGCAGAGGCAGGAGATAGATCTGTTGCCCTCGCCCTGTAGGAGGTCAAACATCTGCTGTCCTAGCCAAGCTCGAAAGGGCCCAGAGGTCGGCATGGGCTGCAGGTGAGCGGGTGGCTGGTTAGGATAGTGTGAGGAGCCTCAGGCCAGCACACAGTGCTCAACAAATGCCACTCCCTGCTTAATCGTGGCTTCTCCACTCCCTGCGCTCACATTTAGAACAATCCCTGTGCAATCCTGCCTCCTGGTGGCAGCGTTGATGTAGCTCAGAGACCAGGTCTGATGCCTCCAGGGTTGCCGTCCTCTGGTCCATGCCCCTGCCTCCAGGCAGATGGCTGTCGAGCACCCCTCGGAGGGACTCTGCCCTTCCTCAACCCTACATGTCTCTGATTCCTGCCACTTTCTGCTCATGTGCAGTTTTTAAAGTTTAATTCTTCTCCACCATCTCACTGTTCTGTAAGAAGTCTTTTAAAATTGCCAACACTGGCCCTAGCTGGTTTGGCTCAGTGGATAGAGTGTCGGCCTGAGGACCAAAGGGTTCTGGGTTTGATTCTGATCAAGGGCACATACCTTGGTTACAGACTGTCCTGGTCGGGGCACGTGCAGGAGGAAACCAATGGGTGTGTTTCTCTCACATCGATGTTTCTCTCTGTCTTTCCCTCTCACTTCTACTCTCCCGAAAAAAAAAAAAAAAAAGTCAAGGAAAAATATCCTCAGGTGAGGATTAAATAAATAAATAAGTAGGTGAGGATTAAATAAATAAATAAGTAGATAAAATAAAATTACCAGCACTCTATTAAGATAAAAAAAATACAAGAAAAATATTTTCCACAATCCCATCCCCAAAATCAAAGCAGTGTTGTCCAATCTGGTGGTTCTACCTTGTTGGGACTTCCTTCTAGACTTTGTCTATGACATATTCGAGTTATATAGCACACGGTGGTTCAAAGGAATGAATATCACTCACAAACATATTTTCAGCACCTATTATATAAGAGCATAGACAAAAATCCCAGCCCTCCTAGAACTCGCATCCTAGTGGGATGCCAGACAATAAGACATCAAGTGTGCCAACTAGTTCTGGATGGTGTAGAGAAAAACAAAGCTGGTAAGAGGGTTGAGGGATTGTTTTAATTTCAAAGGCCTCATAGTGTAAGAAGGTAACATTTGCGTTAAACTTGAGGGGAGTGGGCAGCAATTCTTAGTAGAAAGAATAGCATGTGCAAAGGCCCTGAGCTAGGAACGTACCTGCTATATTCGAGGGACAGCAGGAGGTCAGCGTGGCCGGAACTGAGTGATTGAAGAGGAGAGTGGCAGGAGTGGGGACGTCAGCATTGGTGGGGCTGTGCAGGTCCTTGTGAAGACTTTGGATTTACAGTTAGTGAGATGGGAGGGATGGGAGGGTTTTGTCCTGAGGAGGGACATGCTCTGACATATTTAAAAGCTTCCCTCTGGCTAGGCTGCGGAGGAGCAAGGCTGAAAGCTAAGAGAATAGGGAAAGGGACAGGCCACTGGGATTATTTAGGTGAGGGAGGTGTCACTGGCTGGGTGGTGGCAGAGGAAGAGCCTGGAAAAGGCCGGGTTGTGTTCTGTTTAAGGTAGAACCACCAGATTGGATGCGGGCTGGGAGTTCACCCGTATGTCCTTACACTGACAAGCCAGGGCAAGAAATATGATCCCTTTTATGTAAAACATATTGAAAAAAATCTCTGACCGTGTGTTTGCACATGGTTACTTGTGTCAAGGAACATAACATATTGTTCTGACTTTAGGCAAGGCTTCAGCTGCCTCATCTGTGAAACAGGGACATAGCCGTTGCCTGGGTCACGTGTCCCACAGCTCTGGGACTCCAGCTCCTGCTCCCCTGTCCCCTGTCCCCTGTTCTAGGCCACCCTCGTCCCTCCCTCCTTCCCTGTCTCTGCGAATAAAGGGTGGTTTCAAAATGCTCAGACTTCATCTCCAGAACCACAAACTGAGCGGGGCAGCGGTTCTCTTGAGTCAGCCAAGATGCTTGTCAAAATGCAGATTCCACATCCTCAGAGGCGCTACAGCCTCGAAAACGCTGAGCTGTGGAAGACGTCAGGGCCCTGCATCTGACCCCACACCCACAGGTCACCATGGTGATGGCCGCTCTCTCCCTCCCCCGACAGGGCAGGTGGGCGGCGAATGGCCAAGGTGGTGCGTGACTTCCTGAAGGCCCAGCAGGTGCAGGCGCCCGTGGAGCTCTACTCTGACTGGCTCTCCGTGGGCCACGTGGATGAATTCCTGACCTTCGTGCCCACCTCCGACCAAAAGGTGTGCCCCCTCTCCTGCGGGAACCACCTCTGCCCTTGCCTGACCTGAGGGGATGAAACAGGGCAGAGCTACTTGGGACCAACTCAACACCTAATCCATACTGAGCTCAGAGGCAGGGTACCCTTGAGGCCAGGGGGCATTAATCTTGGAGGGCTTCTTGGAGGAGGTCAGAGCTCAGGTCAGGGGGGCACTCAGTGGCTCACTACTCACACACATTCTCACACTCACCGGGTGTTTCCTCTGATCCACACCACTCAGCCAAGACCCTTGTGAAGTGACACTGATAAAAAGTTGGTAACATTTACTGAGCACCTATGTTGTGTACATGTTTTAATTCATTTAATTCTCACGAGGTGGCTACTATTATCATTGCCCCCATCTCGTAGATGAGGAAACGGAGGCTCAGAAGGGCAATTAACAGGTAGGGTAAGGTTCAAACCCAGACAGTGGGCTCTGGGCCAATATGTTAATCCCTCGGTTTACCGCCTTGCAGAGATGGCCAGAGGGCACAGCCTTCAGGGAGCAAGCAGCCTGGGCGGGGGGCTGCATTCCCAGGTAGGTAAAGCAGGGAAGGACCCCCAGGCAGGGAGAATGTCATGGACAAAGGCCTAGAGGCCTGAGCCAGCTTGGAGGACCTGTTGGTAGTTCTTGGTAGCCGGTGGGTGATGCTGAGGTGGAGATTGAGTGTCCCGTGCGCGGTCTGGCCTCTGAACTCAGGCCCCTCCTGAGTTTGGGGTCTCCTGCATCTAGGGGAACCCGTGCACTGAGCTCTTCTCCCTCCCTCTGTGCCAGGGCTTCCGGCTGCTCCTGGCGAGCCCCAGGGCTTGCCTTAACCTGTTCCGAGAGAAGAAAATGGAGGGCTACGGCAAGGCGGTCCAGTTTGATGGTGAGTGCCAATGACCCAGGCGTCCTGCGGGGACGCTGCCAGCCCTGGGCACCGCTGATGCCTTTCCTGACTGTGCCCCGTCTACAGGCCCTTTGTCTGCAGATCTGCGCTCAGAGCCTGAAGTCACTATTCTCCTGACTCTCACGTGGGAGCTAAGGATGAGGCGCTCCCTCCCTTGGGCTAGGAAAGGGAGCTGCGAGGTGGGGATCTGCCCTAGGCACACCCAAGGGGGTGACCTCCTCCATACAGTGGGCAGTTCCTGGCCACACCCCGGGAGAGGAAAAGAGCAGGAAGCAATGAGCATGCCCCTGTGCCATCCTGTGCCGGGCACTCGTTCTCCCCCGTTCCGATCTCCCACGCCCCCTCCTTATCCCTTTTCACAGACGAGGAAACCGGGACTCAGAGGGAAGTGGCTTTCCCAGGGCTGAGCCGCAGGGAGCAGCAGGGCTAGGGGCTTAAGGGAAGAGGGCCCAGCAGCCAGGTGGATGGTCAGGGCCTCTCTGTAGACCCTCCTTTGGGAATTGACAGACCCTCCCCTCCCCCCCACAGAGCTCAGAGCTCTCCCCTGAGGAATGGGGCCTGGGAAGGGCTGTGGAGTGGACTGCGGCCTGGGTAGACCTGGGTCCAAATCCTGGTCTTGCCATTTGCTGGCTGTGACATCACGGATGCGTCCTGACCCTCTCAGTGCCTCCGTTTCCTCTTTTCTGAATTGGGGGGATAATGAACCCTACCTGGCAGTGCTTTGAAGGCTAATAATAAGCTCAGCGGGAGTCCCAGAACAGGGTGGGTGTTCAGTAATGGTAACTGTATGGAGATGATTAGGCCCTGAGCCCAGGTGTCCCTTCCCAAGGGGTCTGTGATCCATCCCCAGGATTTACTGGCAGCCAGAGCCAGGTCCTATCAGGGTTTCCATCTCTGGCTTTCTCCATCCTTGCTTCAGGCCCTGGCACTGAGGTGGGGAGGAAATTCTGGCCCAGATCATGAAGGCCTGGGCCCATGGTGGCCTGGGCAGGACTCCCTGAGCCCATGGACGGTCTCTCTCGCTCTTGCAGGGTTAGAGGAGAAGGTGAAGAGAAGCATTAATGAATTGCTGGCCGACAGAAGCCTTCAGAGCGACAGTCTCCATGTGCAGGTGAGGGACAGGCCTGCTGCCTGTTCTTGGGGGTCCCCCCATTATCCAGAGAGAGCAGCTGGGGGCTGCTGAGACCTGAGGGTAGGGTAGGGCCCTAGGGAAGGCCATTGGAGCCTCAGTTTTCCCACCTTCGGGTAGCAATGGCACAAAGATCAAAGGAGCTAAAAGGAGCTAAAAGGCGCAGAGGCTGCACACAGTAGGAACTCTGCAAGCCTTGGATCCTTCCTCCTCCCCCAGAAATGCATCGACTGGAACCGGGAGGTGCTGAAGCGGGAGCTGGGCCTGACGGAGCGGGACATCGTGGACATCCCGCAGCTCTTCTACCTGAGGGGCCCGTACGCAGAAGCCTTCTTCCCCGACATGGTGAGGGCAGGGGGCTGTTCTGGTTCCTGGGGCCTTGTGGGGACCCCGTTGGGCCTCCAGAGAAGAGCACCCCCGAGTACAGGGACAGATGGCACAGCCGGGGTGGCCCGAACCCGCCAGCATGTGTGTGTTTTCCGTGCCAATACAGACCGTCCATCAGGGGCTCTCAACCCGGGCCGTTTGGATTGCCTCAGTGAGGGGTACCCAGTGGGGGAGGGCAGGGACGCTGCACAACATCCCGCAGCCCCACGAGTCAGGGCGTGGTTTTCCCCAAATGGGAAAAGGAAGTGTGGTTTGGTTCCAAAGGTGTTGGGCTTCCGTTTCTGGCCTCAGCCGCCTTCTCTGCTCCCCAGTGGGGCCCCTGGGCCCAGCAGGTGGGGCAGGTGGCAGCCACCTCCCGGGCTGTCATTAGCTCGGCAGCTGACGAGCAGGTGAGAGATTGTGAGCTCACCAGCCTGGCCCCTGGGAGGGGCCTGAGCGATGCTATCGGCACAAGCCTGGCCAAAGTGCCCATTATTCCCTTGGGAAAGGATGTGGGGATCTCTGTCCCCTACCTACAGGATGCCAGCAGCAATCCCCCTTATGACAACCAAAATGCCCCGGGGGGTAAAATCCCCCCTGGTGGAGAACCACCGTCCTGAGGCAGTGCCGTTACAACTCTCTGGGGTGATGGAAATGTTCTGTATTTGCACAACATGACATGGGAGCCACTGAGCCACGTGTGGCTACTGAGCACTTCAACTGTGGCTGGTGTGGTGGACCAAACTCTTACTTTAATTTGAATTTTAACAGTCACAGGGGGCTAGTGGCTACCGTACTGGACATCAGAGTCCTAAGGGGTGACCAGCTCTGGCCTGGCTGAGGGTTGCTGGTAAGGCCTGGGTCAGAGCCCATGACCTTGGTCAGCCCTCCTTTGGCTGTGGCCTTGCCCACACCTGCCAGAAGCCCACTCCCCAACACACGCCATAGGGTCCCAGTCTGTGTTTACTGGAAGGGCCCCTAGGGAATGCTGAGTTAACCCCTCATTTGTCAGATGGAGGAACTGAGGCCACAGAGGGGAGGGGTTGGCTTGCTCACGGTCCCCAGCGAGCCAGGGGGCAGCCTCCCGTCTCCTGAGTCCTCATCCAGGAGGGGCCCACCTGGCTGGCTCTGTCCTGAACCCTGCACCTGGCTCCTCTCCCTCCCCTTAGTCTCCTGGCCTCACTCCTTCCCTGGCAAGTTCTGGCCCATTAGTGAGCAAGTGGGTCGCTCAGGGCCAAGGCCATGGAGCTGACCTGAGACCCCCCAGCTTGATGTTGCTCCCAGCCTAGATGGCTCTGCAGGGCAGACTGGAGGGTGAGGGGCTAGGGCTTGGAGAATGGGATGCCACAGAGTCCAGGGCAGCTCACCCCACACTGAGATGGCCTCTAGAAGCGGGTCCAGAATGTCCCCTCCTCTGGCCATCAAGCCAGGGCTGACCCTTCCTCTAAGAAACCTCCACACCCTGCACTGAGGAGATGTCCCTTCCCCACCTCTAGGCCCCCAGCCAGGGCCCCCAAGTAGGGAAGCAGAGATGCCACCGGAGATGAACCCAGGTGCCCCCAAAGGCTCCCAGCCCCTTGCCCCAGCCTCAGCCCCAGGCCGCCATAGTGCTCCATTCTGGCAGAGGATAAAGAGTGTGAGTCTTGGTAATGGTCAGACCAAACCAAATTTCAGTCTTCCACTTCTCTGTGTGGCCTGAGCATGTTTACAGACCTGTCCCAATCACAGCCTCAGAGGAAGGCTGTGCGGTTTAGTGATGCTATATTTGGCACATAGTAGGTGCTCAGTACATGGTGATAATTATCCGGGATTATCCGGGCTTCCAGGGACAGCTGAGCAAGCTGTGCGCTGAACAAATGCACTAGCCCCACAAGGACATTCACACTGTAGACCGTGTAGATGGTGTGTGTATGTATGTGTGTGTGTATGTATGTATATATATATGTATATATATATATATATACATATATATATATACATGTATATATATATGTATATATACATGTATATATATATACATATATATATATATATATATATATATATATATAATATTTTTATTGATTTCAGAGAGGAAGGGAGAGGGAGAGAGAGATAGAAACATCAATGACGAGAGAGAATCATTGATTGGCTGCCTCCTGCACGCCCCCTAATGGGGATCAAGCCCTCAACCCAGGCATGTGCCCTTGACCGGAATGGAACCTGGGATCCTTTAGTCTGCAGGCTGACGCTCTATCCACTGAGCCAAACCAGCTAGGACGATGGCATATTTTTTGTACACGTTTCTGACAGATGATGGTAAACTCCTATTCTAACCAAGTTGTTGTGACAGTTTTCTGATGGATGGGAGAAAGTGGTAGAGGACGGTGTGTCTTTATATAAATCTCCCATGTATGTTACTAACAGCCCTGCTGGTTATCAATCCTCTCTTCCAACCATGAGTCTATTTCTTCTCTGCTTCCATAGACCTTCTTCGTTCTTTCTTTTAAAATATATTTTTATTGATTTCAGAGAGGAAAGGAGAGGGACAGGGAGATAGAAACATCAACGATGAGAGAGAATCATCCATCCATCTGCTGCCTCCTGCACGTCCCGACCAGGAACCAAACCATGACCTCCTGGTTCATAGGTTGATGCTCAACTACTGAGCCACGCCAGCTGGGCAGGACCTTCATTCTGAGGGAGTCCCAGCCCTGGTGGCCCAGGGATGCTGGCCAGGGTGGGACAGGACCTGGGATGGGTCTGCCAGAGCCACAGGCCAGAAGGGTTCCCCATGTGCCAGGTGTCCGCAGCCAGCCGGGCCCCCCTCTTGCCTTGTCTCTTCTACAGGTCAACATGGTGGTCTTAGGCAAGTACCTGGGCATCCCCAAGCCCTACGGGCCCATCATCAACGGCCGCTGCTGCCTGGAGGAGAAGGTGCGGTCCCTGCTGGAGCCGCTGGGCCTCCACTGCATCTTCATCGACGACTACCTGTCCTACCACAAGCTGCTCGGGGAGATCCACTGCGGGACCAACGTGCGCCGGCAGCCCTTCTCCTTCAAGTGGTGGCACATGGTGCCCTGAGCCTGCTCCCTACCCGCCATTCTCTCTGCCCACCTGTTGGGAAGCCCGCCAGAGTGAAAGCGAGGAACCTCTTCCTGGCCTCCATAGGGGGAGGCCTGCTAGGCACAATCCCTCAAGTGCCTGCAAACGTGCTGGCCGCCGTGGGCACGGGGACACAGGGATGGGCACCACACATCCTCACCTCTGGAGCGGCCCGCCCCGCCCGAGAAGGACCACCCTCAGTCTCCCCTCTCCCCTCTCCATCACAGCTCCCAGGGGGCCTGGAGAAGACCAACGGCTCTGGCGTGTTCAAGGGCCGCGATGCGTGGCCTCGGCAGGCGCCCCTTGGAATCGCTCCCCCTCTGTCCTGATGGACCCTTTGTGCTTACCAGTTGTCGTCCTCTCTTCCAACTACCAGGAATGGGGCTCAGGGAGCCTGGGCTCCGACGTGAGGGCCCCTGGGTCTGGGCCGCCTGTGGCTCCTGGAGGACCGAGGACCTGGGCTGTCTTCTCCTGTAGGGGACCCCCCGGCTGCGACCTCCCAGCCCCCTCAACCGGGTTTACATAGGCAGATAAGGACAGGAGAAGCCAGCGTGGAGGGTTTGCTTTAAAAGGAAAAAAAGGCAAGGAAAACCCTTTCATGCCTGACTCTTTCCTCAGAAGGGTGCTTGTTATCTGCGTGGAAAGCCTTTAATTATGAGTACTGGCTGCTTCCAGCTCAAAAAGGCTACGAGGTCAAAAAGAGGCCTGGGAGGGCATCAAAGGCAGGAAGCCCGGCAGGAAGCCTGGCAGGAGAGGGGATGCCAGGCTGGCAGAGCGGGCACCGGACAGAAGCGGGGGCTGGGCTTCCGCGTCCCGGGCTCCTGGGCCTTGGGTTCTGGACTCTGCATGTGAGGGCAGCCGGCTGTTCCAGATGTAGCAGGGAGGGGCCCGGATGTGAGAAGAGGGTGGGGGGCCATTAGGCTATCTCTGAAGGTGGGGTTTAATTCCCTTTAATAGTCTCTAATTATTCCCTTCCTTCTGCCGGCAGTGGGAGGGAAAGGCTTGCCCAGGCTCCCTCAGCAACCCCAAGACCCGGAGCGGAGCTTGGGTTTCACCTATGGGTAAACCCCCATGACGGCCCTGTGTCCCCCCGTCTAGAAGGGAAGATACAGCTGCCACAGGGGTTAATGCTCCGGCCCCGGGGGAGGTCACCAGGCCGTGCACAGGCCGGCAGGCTTGGCCAGTGCAGGGTGAGAGGTGGCCCTTGCTCCAGCCAGGCCTGGGCAGCAGGGAGCAGACCTCTGCTCTGTCTCCCACTGCTTGAGGGGCCACCTCGGGGGCCCCCAGCCCCTGGGCCTTCACCTTCGGGGTTTTCAGCGGCCCCTGGTGAGACCTGGGTTGAGCCAGCTGCTGTTAAACTCTATTAGGAATCAGACACTTATGTGGAAACCCAACATAGGAAACGGATAAAAATGGAACCGCTCTGGTGTAAGGTGGTGAGGGCGGCGTACCTGAACCTTCCCCTTCCAGAAGGCTCTGTCGAGACCCCATCTGCAAGCCCCTGGTCTTACCTGCTCATTCTCTGATCGTCATCACGAGGAAACCTAGACTGAGCCAAGAGGAGAAGGGAGATGTTCAGGGGCTGGGGCCCCAGGGGTAAAGGGCGGAGAGGGGAGGGGGCACTGCAGAGAGATGGGGAGCAAGTCCTTAGAGCGGCGCTGGGTGTGCAAGGCGCTAGGATTGCCGCAGGGGCTGCTGGGGGACACTGATGTCCCCTCTGAAAATGATCCGGGTGACTGGTCATCTTTCTGATTAATAAAAATGTCAACATGTATTTCTTCAAGGGGCAGCCTCCTTCGCTTTTGTTTGCTGGGCTGTGAGGAGGAGGGAAGAAAGTTTCACCCACCACACCACCAGGCAGCCAGGCGGGCTGCTCCATCAGGATGGCTGGCACATGCCCGCTGCCTGGGGCCAAGGCCCTGCTGAGATGGCTCTCAGCGGAGGTGGGCTCTGCCTCTTCATTTCGTCTCCCTTCCTGGGCTGCCTCCCCCGTCTCTCAGAGGGAAGGCCACTGGGGCTATTGACAGAGGCCGGAGGGTCCCCAGCGGGACTGGTGCCCGGGGCCACATGCCACTGATTCCCTTTCATTTCTGCCTCTAAGCCACTGAGCTACTCAGCGGTCTGGTTTCAGGGCTGAAAGTATCTCCCCTCGCATCCTACACACAGGTTGCTGCCTCAGATCGCATCCTTTGACATTCACCCACTCATTCACTTTATATTTGCTTTTCTTGTGGACTTAGAGGCAAAAACTTTTTGCCATCCGTCATTGGCACTTTAGTCTGAACGAGCCACTGATCTGTTCCTAAAAGCTGGTCATAACTGGGGAGAGGTGAAGGCCTGGGTCTGTCTGTTGCCAAGGGAGAGTTGGGGCTCTGTTCCCAGTGCAGTGGGCCAGTGCCCGGTGGGGGGGGGGCCACTTCCTGTATCTATTTCCCAACGGTGCTCACAGTGGGCTGAGGAGGCTGTCTAGGACTTCCTCCTGAGCTCAAACTCTTATCCAGAGCGGAGTCAGCCACCAAGCATTTTATAGCCCAAAACGTGAAGCTGCCACCGGACCCAGCAGCCCAGTAGCTCTCCCTGAGAAGAACTTCCCCCCAGAAACTGGGAGGCCGGAGCGCCAGTCTTAGAGTCCTGCTGAGGTCCCCGACTTCGGCCAGTGCTTTAGGTGGGGACTCTGGGAGGCGGGTCCTGGTCCCCACCCGGCCCCAGCCATCAGCAGCACCAGGGAGAAGAGAGGAAACCTCCGCTCAGCACCTCCTGAGCCTCTGGGGCAGGGTGTGCCCGCCACGCTCTCTGCCAGGGCTGGCGATTAGCCACATTCTCAGGCCCGAGAGCCCTGTTCATGGTGGAGCCTGAACCCAAGACTCCTCCTGCCAGAGCCCTTGCTCCTGCTGTTCCTCCAGGTGCGGAAAAGTCCGCTCTGGCCTCCGTTTCCCCACCCGAAAAGCAAGCCTGCTCTGACCTTCTGAGCTCCCCCTAGTCAGGGAGCTCTTTCACCCTCATCGCGTCCCCCTCCCGGCAGCTTCGGTATCTAATAATAATAATAACAATAACAACAGCGCTCATCACGAAATCATGCCAAGCTCTGTACTAGAGCTCTACCCACGTTGTCTCATTTAAGCCGCACAACAACCACTTATCAGATGTGAAAAGTGAGGTACAGAACAATTAAGTGACTTGCCCCGGGTCACCCAGCCAGGCTGTGGCTGAGCCAGGGCTGACATCCAATCCTGCTTCTCAAATCCACACTCTTAAAGGAAGAGGCCCGTGTTCCTCAAAGTGCATCAACATTCTTTGGGGCGCTTGTAAAAAATCCAGATGCATCAGACAGGAGGCCGGGCCCAGGAATCTGCATTTTGCCAACTCCCCAGCAGGGTAGAGAAGCTCCCCGCTAAAGCAAATCATCTCTGAAAATGCAGGAAAAGGGGATGAGGAGGATGGAAAGTGAGGGACACAGACCAATACTGCACAGCTCTGTACCCCCTCTTCCCCCCACCCCAGGCCTTGGAGCCCTGGCCAGGTACCTGTGGCGACTTGCTCCCCTTTAAAGCCAGAAATTAACTCCCTCCGTGCTGGGATGGAAGCAACAAGTTCATATGCAAATCAGGTTTCCTCCAGCCAATCCAGAGATCCTGGCTCTAGGAAGGGGCTGGGCTTCCTGCACGGCAGCCAATGAGCTGGCACCCTGGGCTGGAGGGGCAGGGCCAGGGTCTTTTAAACCACTGGCCCCGGGGGTGTAGGTAGGCAGTGTTGGGCTTTGTGGCCCCAGCCCAGTCCGAGGCCAGCATGTCCCTGCAGAGGATCGTGCGTGTGTCCCTGGAGCATCCCACCAGTGCCGTGTGCGTGGCTGGCGTGGAGACCCTGGTGGACATTTATGGGTAAGAGCCCGAGGCCTGGGCTTTGCAGGCCTTGGTGTTATCTCCCTGGGTCCTCCCTGTGAGCCGTGTAGGGCATCTTCAGGGCTCGGGCCTCTGGCTTGCCTGCCTTCCCCTGAGCCTTGGCCTTGGCACACCAGCCAATCACAGGAGCTTGGGTCCTCACCTTTTGCGAGGAGAGACTCTAGCCAGGAAACTTGAAGTGTGGGAGACCGAAGGTGGGTAGAGAGGCTTATAGCGGCTGAGCTCTGGCCAGGGCCTTGGAGCCAGGGAGGCGGAGGGGGGGCTGGAGACACGGGGTTTGCGCATGTTCTCTGTCCGGAGGACCCTGCAGGCTGGGCTGAGAGTCTGGCTGAGCACACAGGAATAGGAAGAGACACACTGCCCCTCCCAGACCCAGTTCCTGCCGATGAGGCTGAAAACAGAGCGTCAACCTTTTTTTTTTTTTTTCAATTACTTATACGCAGATAGCACTCAGTGCCAGGCACTGTTCTAAGAGCTTCACAAGCCTCTTAAATGTAACTTTCACAACAACCATATGAGCTAAGTTCATTATTCTTCATCTTATTTGACAGGTGAGGAAACTGAGACACAGAGAGGCCAAGCCATTTGCTCAGGTCACACAGTGACTCAGTGGCCAAGTCAGGACTTAAACCCACTCATGGTCAGGAGTCTTATGAACGTGGCTGTCCGCCGCTTGAGGTGGAGGGGTCTCCTCCAGCTGTTTGATGCCCATGCATTCTGCCCCCACCGTATGCCCACGTCCTTAAAGCCCGTGGCTGGAGACGAGACCCCACCTTCTCCCTCTCCCAGGAGGAAAAGGAGCCTTTGGGGAGGGTTTGGGGAAGTCTTCAGGGGCCCCAGCTCCTGAGGCTGAACCAGGGACACAGGTAGTCAAGGGTCTGGGAGGGGAGAAGGCAGAGCCCTGTTGTCGCTCCCATCTTACCGACCAGGTTTCTCAGCCTCAGCACCATGGACGTGGTCGTTCCCTGGGGCCGGGGAGAGCCGGTGGGCCCGTCTGCACACTGAGATGCTGAGCAGTGCCCCTGGCTTCTACCCACCGGGTGCCAGGAGCACCTTACACTGGTGACAACCAAAAATGTCTCCAGGCATCGCCAGCTGTGCCCGGGGTGGAGGGGCTTGCCCCAGCTAAGAACCAGTGTCCTAGAGTAAAACTTAAAAATTGGAGTGAACTTAGTCAGAAGCAGAGATAGGTTGGTCCCGGGGTAGTAGGTGAGAGGGGGTGAGGAGCTGGTCATGGGAGGGAACCAAGTCTGAGCAGGCCTGGCCCAGCGAGGTACTGGGAGCTAAAGCCGGGTTGAGGTTGGGGGGGCGGTGAGGAGTGGGAAGGGGATTTGGTGGCTTCTGAGGGGGCAGCAGCCACAGAGACTGTTCCAGAAGTGATGAGGGAGGAGGGTACTTGTGAGGCCGGGCACCACTGCCTCTCCCAGCACTTCATGCGCCCATGGGGGTGACTCATCCCCCCCCCTGCCTGCCTCCTGCCCGTAGGGCAGATGTGCCCCAGGAAAGCGCGGGGCTAGCTCCTCCCCTGAAGAGCTTCCCGAGAGGATGGGGGTGCAGATTGGGGTCATGAGAGGCAAAGCAGCAGTGTCTGGGGCAATGGAGTGGGTGGGCCATGTTGGGGTTTGCAGAGGAGGCTGCGGTGGGATAGCCACAGGGTGGTAGGTGGAGCCTCTCGCACCTTCGAACTAGGGATTCTTGGGTCTCGATGACCAGCCCCCCTGGTATTTCTTTTGGGTCTAGTGTGTGCCAGGCTCGGGGACACAGAGGTGAACAGGCAGGCGTGGTCCCTGCCCTCTGAGGGGCCCATCCTGCAGTTCTGGGTCACCTCCCCGGGGGCTGCGGAAGGGACGCCTGCCTAGCAGACAGAGCAGTCCTGGGTCAGCATGGAGGTCTCTTCCGCTTGGAGGCCAGGACTGAGCAATCCTGACGCTCGGACTGTGGGCCAACGGGAGAAGGGGCAGTGGGCATGGTGACTCAGCCCTGGCTCCGCGTTCTAGCAGCTGTCTGACCCTAGGAAAGTCGCTTTACCTGAGTCTCTGTTTCTTCCTCTGTAGGATGGAGATGATATAATAATAATGATGATGATGATGATAATAATATCAGCAACGATACTTAGAGCCTGCTCCACCCAGTCACTGCCTGGCGCTTTGCATATGTTAACTAATTCTCTTATCAATTCTAGGAGGCGGACATGATCAGCCTCCCCATTTTATAGATGGGGAAACTGAGGCACAGAGAGGACAAGTAACTTGCCCCATGTCACACAGCCAGTGAGGAGAAGAGCATGCAGGTGAAACCTGGCATGTGGTGAACATTCAATTACGATGACTGTCACCATGATTATCATCGTTGTCACCATATTAAGGCTTTATCCTGACCCTGTGGACAGCCTCAAGTGTCCCAAGCCTGCCGTACACTGGGGAGCAACCTCTGAACTGTATTGGGAGAAGGAGGAGATGAGAAAAGAGACCTTAGCATAGGCTGAGCAGTCAGGGCAGGCTTCTTGGAGGAAGGGCACCAGCCAGGGCCTTGAAGGATGAGCACAGGCAAGACCACTGGGCCGCTCTGTCTGAGGCAGTGGATTAAATCCTGTCTTCCTGCCTCGAGTTGAGTTGGAGATGGCCCTGACTGGGTGAGGGGGCTCTGTTTTCCTGAGCAGGGATTCCTGTGCTGAGCCACGCCCCCGGGGTGAACGTACAGCCAGGCCTCGGTGGAAGGGCAAACAGCCCACGTCACCCCTTGCTCAGCAGAGGTGGTCTAATGGGGTGAAAAGGCTCCAGTGACCCTGAGGTTTGGTCTGAGCTCTGTCACCGTTCGCAGTGTCATTTGGAACAACCTCCTGCTCCTTCCTGGGCCTCCGTTTCCCCGTGTGCCCTGAAGAGCAGCGGGTTTCAAGCTCTGCTCCCAGGGGCCTCTGGGCTCATCCCTGATGTGACAAAGCAGCTCCCCGCTGCAGCGGATTTTCACCGAGAGCTCTGACTGCCGTGCGGAGCGGGGCCCTGGGAGGCGGCACTTCTCCAACTTTTCAGGATAAAAGTGTGGCCGCACTTTCCTGGGGCGGGAAGAACGTGGGGTTAAGGAGGGCCAGTGATTTCTTGACCCTGGTTCTGTTGAGAGGCCAGGATCTGGGAGCCTCACTGAGCAAGAGGAGCAGCTGGTACCTCCCGCCGGAGCCAGAGCTGCCTGGGCCCTGGTCTCCCCGGCCCCTGGGGGCCACTCGGTGGGGACCTTGGTGGTCATCTTGTCAACCTGTGTGTTTTCAGCTACAGGGACCTTTCCTGTCAGTTCCTTGGCTCGGAAAGTCTGCTTTTGTCTTCCCAGAGGTCGATGGGTTTGGGTTTGCAAGGGAGCGGGGACAGAGCTGGCCATGAGACATCGCTGTCCCTTACTAGCTGTGTGACACGTCACCTGTCATCTCTGAGCCTCAGTTTCCTCATCTGCAAAGTGGGGGTAATATGGCTATGGGAGCTACCTTCATCGCCATTCTCACCATTGAAGGGCAGACACGAGACCCAAGGGGAGACCTGACTAGTCTTGTTTCCCAGGACAGGGTGGGCTCACCCTGAGTCATCCCCACGTGCCCTGGGGCACCAGGCTCCAGCATTTCTGAGACAGCCCACCCTTAGCTGTGGTTCTGGCTTCACTGGGCATCAGGGTGGTTTTAAGTGCCAGTTCCAGGGCCCTGCCTGCAGTACCTCTGGTTCTGGAATCTGCTTTCACCGGGTGGGTCCGAGGCTGGGCGCTGCGAGGGTGACCAGCTGTCCGTTTGCCCAAGACCTTCTAGGTTTCAGCACTGAGAGTCCTGCACCCCAGGACACGCCTCCATCCCTGGCAAACCCCGTGCCGCACCTCACCCTCCATTCCCCGCCTCCTAGGCTGGCTGCGAGGGCTTGGTGCTGGGGGGGCCTTGGCCTGTCCTGTGCGTGGACAGCCTCGTCTGGGGAGAAACCGGGGCTCCAAGCCACACGCACCTCCTGGGGCTGGGCCAGGGGGTACGGGCTAGAGCAGGATGCTGGCAGCTCGAGGTGGCCTGGCCACTTCTGCTGACTTCCGGGAAGTGGGACACCCAGATCCTCCTGTACCTGACACAGGTCTCCTCCCATCAGCCACCCCTTTGATCTTCCAAACACACAGCTTCCAGGACGGGGCATGAGCACTGCACGGGGAGCCTGGAGCCCTACCTTCCAGTCCCTTTTCTCTGAAGCCTCAGTTTTCCCAGCAGTGAAATGAGGGCACGGGTTCAGGTGACCCTGACTTTCGCTCACCCCGAGCATTTACACACACCCACTCCTTTGATCTCCTCATCATCCCCCTTTATAGACGCGGACACTGAGGCAGAGGGAGGTCACACGCCTAGTGAATGGCGAGGCTGGCATTTGGACCCAGGTGCCCTGGCCCCAGAGTCCACAGGCTTCACCGCCTCCTAATCAAGAGCCATCGCCGGCTCCCCATGACAGAGGGGTGGGATAAAACAGCTGGTTTTGTTGATTAAACTTGACTTCCTCCGGCTCCCTGGTGACATGCCTTCCCCTCGGTGTGTCCTCCTTGTCTCGGTCCCCCTGCCTTCCTCAGGGAAGCCTTCGCAGACACCCCGGCCCACGCTCTCAAACCGCCTCCAGCTTCCTGGGCCTTGATCTCCTTTAAGAACCCCTCCCCCACCCTGGCGGGCAGTGTTCCAAGCCTTTCCTCCCAATGACCACATTTGAGCCTCATGATGGCCAGTGAGTTTGGCTAAGTGGGGGGTCATTATCTCACTTTATAGGTGAGGTGACCGAGCCCAGGGAGGCCAGGCGACTACTCGAGGTCACCCGGCTGATGTGCGACCCGGCCTGTCTAGTATCGGGCTCCTGCCTCTGGTCCAGGCACCACCCCTGACCCTGAGGCCCTGAGCCCCATCTGGCTGCCCTGGGCAGAGCTCTGTCCTCAGCTCTGGGGAGAGCAGTGCCTGTGTACACAGCGGGCACCCCTCAGACAATAAGAAGATGAGCAGACTGATTTCAGACAGGACTCCCAGACGAGCTGGAGCGGGGGAAACGCAGTCCCAGGGTCAGATAACATCACAGACTTCTTACTCCCACAGTTAATGCCCGGGAGACTCACCAGGGAAACGTGAATGAACACGGAGCCTTGGAATGCAAGACTGTGTGTACGTTTGTGGGTGGTCGAGACTTGACTCCCAGGAGCTTACTGGGAGGATGAGAGGCCTGGGGTGGTCAGGGAAGGCTTCCTGGAGGAAGCAAGACTTTGAACCAAAGCTCAAGCATCGGAACAAGGGCTGCCCCCTCTAGCACTTCCCATGGCTCCCTGTTCTTCCCAGGTCAGTCCCGGAGGCACAGAGATGCTCGAGGTCTACGGGACCCCCGGTGTGGACGTCTACATCTCGCCCAGCATGGAGAGGGGCCGGGAGCGTGCGGACACCAGGCGGTGGCGCTACAACGCAGGGCTGGAGATCATCGTGGTCATGAACTCTCCCAGCAATGACGTCAACGACAGTCATGTGAGTGGGTCCCGTGGTCTGGGGGCAGGGCGGGGAGGCAGTGAAATAGCTTCCCTGGGCCCTCTTTTTACCCAGAGGACAGAGTAACGTGGTGATAAGTGCACTTAAAGACACAAAGTGTGGCCCTAGCCAGTGTGCTCAGTGGACAGAGCATCAGCATCAAGGGTATGTACCTCGGTTGCAGGCTTGATCCCCCGCCCTGATCAGGGCGCAGGTGGGAGGCAACCAACTGCTGTGTCTCTCTCACATCGATATTTTTCTCTCTCTTCTCTCCCGCACCCTTCCGCTCTCTCTAAAAATCAATAGAAAAAGATCCTCAGGTGAGGATTAACAAAAACATACAAACAAACAAGAAACCCAAGTGTGTGGCCGTGGCCAGTGTTTCTAAGCTGTTAGAGCATTGGGCCCACGCACTGAAGGGCCGCAGGTTCGATTCCTGGTCGAGGGCAGGTACCTGGGGCAACCAGTCAGTGTGCCTCTCTCACATCGATGTTTCTCTCTCTCTCTCTCCTTCCCCTCCCTCCCTTCTTCCTTTCCATTCTCTCTGAAAAGCAATGGGAAAAATATCCTCTGGTGAGGATTAACAGAAAACAAGAACAAACAACAACACGCAAAGTGTGTGTCCTCTGGCAAGCCGTTTCCCCACCTGTGGGCTGAGGGCTGGTGAGGGCGTCCCTGTAGCTCTGCGTGCAGGAGAGAGCAGGGAGCAGGGACAGGGGAGGGATGCTCTTTCTGGGGAGACCCCCTTCCCCCGAGGTGACATTTCCCCAAGTTGCCTCTTCTTCCTCTAATCTACGCTCTTCCTGTCCGAGTTCCCTTCCCTCCCCTTCTCGGCTCACTCAGCTAGGGAGTGTCTTTAACCTGCCCCAGCTGTCGGCAACATTCTGGCAGGAAATAACTTAAAATGTGGGAGAAATGGGGTGGCCCCTGAGCTTGGCACAGGCGATGCCACCTTATATGGCGGATGGGAACCAGGACTTGTCGTACGGGAGGGATGGATTTACACTCCATGTCAGCAACGATGTTTTGGAAAACTGTCCCTTTAAGAGCGCTGCCCATGAGCCCATCCAGCCCTCACAACAAGGTGGCTTTGAAGCATCAGGCTCCAACTGCTCTGTCGTCCTCACTGGCCCCGCCTGGGACAGTTACTGGGTGCTGGCTGTGGGCCAGGCACCACGCTGAGCATGTCACCCGCGTTCCTCCCTTAATCCTCACAGCCTATAATCACTCCTGCAGGTAGGAACTGTTATTATCCGCACTCCCCAGCCGAGGAAATTGGGGCCCAGAGAAGATAGGGACTTTTCCCAGGATATTTCCTCGGCTGCATCTAGAATCTGAGCCCTTACACAATGCCGCCTGCCCCCCACTTACAACAGCTGGTGTTTCCTGGGCACTGTCTGTGGGATCCGTCTTTTACGTGTGTTGTTTTAGGCTGCACCATAGTTCTCTGAGCTAGGAACCTGTATGGTCCCAGTTTGCAGATGAGGAAACTGAGGCGGCTGAGAAAGGTGAAGGGCTTTGGCCAAGGTCACGCAACCCAGAGGTGCTGGGCTGTCTGAGGTCCAGGCCTGTCTGAGTCCCAGAGATAAAACATTGGCTTGGAGAGTGTCCCGAACCCTGCCCGGTCTGAACTCCTCATTGTACACATGGTGGGACTGAGACTCAGAGGGGAGAGGGGCTTGCCCAAATCACACGGTCGTCATCGGCAGCACTGGGGCCCAGTCTCCATAGAATCCCTCACAAATAGGCCCATTTTACAGATGGGCCAACTGAGGCAGGGACAAATAAACGGCATAGAGAAGGCTAAAGGAAGAGCTGAGTTGGTAAACTCAAGTTTAATGCACAGAGATCTCCTCCCCTCCTTGCCAGATATTTCAAGGCCTGTCCTTTGGGGTGGGGGCTCTTGGCTTCAGCCAACATGACCCTGGGCCCCTCTCTCCGCAGGTTCAGATTTCCTACTACTCCAGACATAAGCCCCTGCCCCTGGCGTACACCGTGCTCTACCTCACCTGTGTTGGTAAGTTGGGGGCCATGGTGAGGGTGTGGCCAAGGGGCGTTGGCCAAAAGCAGGATGGGAAGTGGTTGGGAATGACACTGAGCAAGGATCTTGTTACCAAAATCAATGAGTTTTATTTTTTTTAAAGTAAGAAGTGCACATTTAAAAAATTCAAACAAAAGAGTATATAGTTGAGCCTTAAAAAACATGGGTTTGAACTGCATGGGTCCAGTTATATATGGATTTTTATTTTCAATTGATCTGCACAGTTCCATTGGCCCATGCAGTTCAAACCTGTGTTGTTCAAGGGTCAGCTCCATGGCTGGGAATCTGAGTCTGCAGAGGGCTGACTGTAGTTATATGTGTGAGGTCAGTGCCCCTAACCTCCAAATTGACCCAAGACTCCAGGTTCCCCAGGCCCAGCACCCTTCTAAGACATGCTGTGCTCATATAAGTAGACACATGCATACATGTTTATCCCCCCGCCCCTTTTGTAAGCAAATGGAAGCATATATAGACATATAACTAAACCTTGCTTTTCCCAACTTAAATTTTTTGGGGACGAATTCTCCACAAACTGATATATAAACCATGCAACTATCAGACAGGAAATATAAAGTGATTAATATGTTAAAGGCTATAGAGGAAAAGGTGGGTAACATGCATGAATATATGGGGAATTTCAGCAGAGAGATGAGAACTATAAGAAGGATTCAAATGGAAATGCTGGAAATAAAAATCCGATGAGACATGTTTTTGATGGGTCCATAGGTAGACGTGGCACAGCTGAAGAAAGAACTGGTGAACTCGAAGACAGGGCAACAGTTACCCAAACTGAAACACAAAGGGAAAGAAAGAATGAAACAAACAAAATAACAGAAAAGATTCAACAGCTCTGGGCCAGTATCAAACAGTCTAAATAGAACTTTATAGGGCTGAGCTTAAATCTCATACAGAAGAGCAAAGGGCAAGAATAGCCAAGACAATTTTGAGGAAGAGCAAGAGGAAGGGATACATGGTACCAACAGCTTTTCTCCAAGTTGTAGTACTTGAGGCAGCATGATTAAATACAGACCAGAGAACCAATAGAGAACTGACCATAGACCCCTGCTCACGTGGATATCATGTGAGAATCAATAAACCTGGAACCATATCTCGTACTATACTGTACTGAAAAATAAATTCCAGATGGGTTAAAAATCTTTTTTAAAAATATTTTTTTTATTGATTTCAGAGAGGAAGGGAGGAGGAGCGAGAGAGAGAAACATCAATGATGAGAGAAAATCATTGATTGGCTGCCCCCTATTGGGGATCGAGCCTGCAACCCTGGGCATGTGCCCTTGACTGGAATCGAACCTGGGACCCTTTGGTCTGCAGGCCGACACTATCCAATGAGCCAAACCAGCTAGGCCGGGTTAAAAATCTTAAGGTGAAATCAATATTTTAGAGCTTTTAGAAGAGAATATCTGTAAACTCAAGGTCAAGGGTATCTTTAACAAGGAAAAACAATAGCACAGATCATAAGGGGAAAGATTGATAAGTTAGGCTGTATTTAAATTCGAAACTTCTGTACAACAGAGGAATCCAGCTCTGGACTGGGAGAAGAAATCTGCAATGTATATGGCTTACTTGGAGCATAGCGATTATGGAAAACTTCAATCAATAAAAAAAAAAAAGACAAATGACTAGAAATAGGCGAAAAATATGAATAAGCAATTCACAGAAGAGAAAGCCCCAGTGTTCAGAGCCCAAAGGAAAAGACGCTGAACTTAGTGTTGCCAAGGATGTGGAGCTGGGGAGCCCCTTGCACTATGGGTGGGAGTTTGCACCAACTATGGGTGCTACAAGCACGTGGAGAGCAATTAGCAAGAAATTTAAAAATGCTCCATCTTCAGGAGGCATTTTAGAAGCAGAACTGCTGAGTTATGGAAAATGCACTTTGTAAATTCTGATAGATATTGCCAAATCGCTCTCCAAAAAGACAGTACCACTTTATATACCTGCCAGCAGCGTGTGGGAGTGCCTTGCCAACACTGGGCGCCATCAGCCTTCTCCCTTTGTGCCAATCAGAGAGGTTGTATCTCATGGTTGCTTTAATTCGCCTTCCTTTAGTTAGGGCTGAGGTTGGGGATCTCCCTGCCTCCCCCTCCCTGACCACACAATACACCCTCGTTCATTGGAAAATATCACACAGAAAAGTGCATAAAGCTGCATTTTTGTATTGATTCCAGAGAGGAAGGGAGAGGGAGAGAGAGATAGAAACATCAATGATGAGAGAGAATCATCCTGCACGCCCCCCACTGGAGATCGAGCCCACAACCCTGGCATGTATCCCGTCTGGGAATCAAACCGTGACCTCCTGGTTCATAGGTCAACTCTCAAGCACTGAGCCACACCGGCCAGACAATATAGCAGCGGTTCTCAACCTGTGGGTCGCGACCCCTTTGGCGGTCGAACGACCCTTTCACAGGGGTTGCCTAAGACCATCCTGCATATCAGATATTTACATGACGATTCATGACAGTAGCAACATTACAGTTATGAAGTAGCAACGAAAATAATTTAAGGTTGGGTCACAACATGAGGAACTGTATTTAAAGGGCCAGAAGATTGAGAACCTCTGCAATAAAGCTTTATTTTATACACACACACTAATGAATAATTACAAAGCAAATGAACAGCCATCGCCCAGGTCAAGAAATAGAACATGACTAGCACCCCAAAGTCTCCCCCAAATATACCCGTCTCTGATCTCTGGCTTCCTTCCTGTAGAGGTAGCCACAACCTTGTGATAAGTATTTTCTTGCTTTTCTTTGTGGTTTTGTCACCTGAATATGCATACCCAAATAATATAGTCTATTTTTGCCATTCTTTGAACTTCCTATGGATGGAATCACATTATACATATTATTTTTCGGGTGGGACTTCTTTTACCCACATTCTGTTTGTGGGATACATTCATTCACTTGTTGCATGGTGGTTGGGCATCTTTTCAAGTTTCAAAATTATTTCAAATGTTTCCTTCTTCCCCCTCCCCCTACCTCTCTCCCGTGAATGCCCCATTTGTGTTATAAAATCTCCCCCAGTTCTAGGGAGACACGTTCAGAAGGTGGGATGGAAGCTGGGATTTTAAGAGTATGGGATGAAGGTGAGGCCCAGAGAGGCCACAGCCGGTAGATGGCGGAGCCCGGATTCACATCCACGTCTGTCTGACACCCAAGTCCAGGCTCACTCCCCCATCCCAAGGATGTGAGACAGCTTCACACAGACCAAGAATGTCTAGGGCAACCTGAGCTCAGTGCAGGGTGTGCCCCAGACAGTGAGGCCTGTAGAGATACAGAAGAGGGAGGGATCCGGGAAGGCTTCCTGGAGGGGGCAACATTTGTCCTGGGCTTTTACTCTGACCCTGCTTCCTCCCCAAGGCCGCTGCCTTTCCCCAGCCCAGGGAGAGAGACTCCGATGCCCCCACCTCTGGGCAGGGTCTTCTTGGAAATTATTTCCATTTGCCCAGCCCCGGGTGGGCCCTGAGAGCAGAAGGTAAAAGGTGAAGGTCATCGGCCTGTGTTGATCTCCTGGGAACCCTGGGGTGACTTCCCTCTGCCCTTGCCTTGCAGACATCACCCTGGATTGCGACCTGGACTGTGAGGGCAGGCAGAACGGAAGCTTTGTGGACAAGGTAAGACACCTCCCCTGGGCCCAGAAAGGGGTGTGGAGTCTGGAACTGCCCTAGGCTGGGTTCATAGCGGCGAGGTTGTTACAGGCACCCCCCCGCCTCCCAGCCGATGCCGAGGTCAGGGGAGCCAGGCATGGTGGGGATCTTCTATTTCCAGGAGAAAAGTCATCGCCAGGGACGATGAAGCACACACGTGCTCAGCCCTGGGCTAGGTCTTGCTTTGTGGGCACTTTCTCCTGGACTTTCCATCTAGGTTGGGGGTCAGCAAACCTTTCCTGTAAAACCAAGATAATAAATATTTTAGGCTTCACAAGCCACACAGTCTCTGTGGCAGCACCTTGATTCTGCCACTGTAGTGTGAAAGAGCTATAGTCAGTATGTAAACAAGTGCATATGACTGTGTTCCAATAAAACTTTATTTACAAACACAGGCCATGGGCCGGATTTGGTCCTTGGGCCATAGTGTGCTAACTCCTTGACCTAGGTGTAAAGGGAAATCTACCAAGTATGAAATGTGAGAGAACTTTGGGCTGAATTGTGGTGGCACTTCATGTAGTTAGGAGTTTGGAGGAGAAGGTCAAGGTGGGCGGGGGGAGCAAGGAGGATTTTCTGGAAGCAAGTCCACTTGAGCTGGTCTCTAAAGGGATGTGAAAGGGAGGGTATTCCCGGTGGAGGGAACAGCAGGAGATAAGGCTGCAGGGAGGGATGGACTTAGAATTAGGAGGTTGCCTGTTGAGAAAGAGGACAGACAGCCACGAAAGACAGCTACCAGTTTGGACTTGATGGTGTGGGCAGTAGGGAGCCATTGCTGTTTATTTTCTTTCTTTTTAAATATTTTTTATTGAGTTTAGAGAGGAAGAGAGAGATAGAAACATCAATGATGAGAGAGAATCATTGATTGGCTGCTTCCTCGTGCTCCTCACTGGGGATCGAGCCTGCCATCCAGGCATGTGCCCTGACTGTGAGGCAAACCGTGAACTCCTGGTTCGTAGGTTGATGCTCAATCACTGAGCCACACCGGCCAGACCATTGCTGTTTCTTGAGCAGGAGGCGCTTCAGTGAGAGTGGACCTGTCCTCAGCGGGCAGGATGGGGTTGGCCAGCCGAGAGGTTGCTGGGGAGGGAGGCACAGGCTGGGTCCCAGCCCCCATCACCAGCTTTGCTTTGTTGTTGGCAGCGCCAGTGGGTCTGGGGGCCCGATGGGTATGGGGCCGTCCTGCTAGTGAACTGTGACAGGGACGACCTGAACTGTGATGACCGGGACAACTGTGACCAGCACGTGTGCTGCCTGCAAGGTGAGGGGCCCAGGGTAGCCCGTGTCCCTGGGTGTCCAGGGTCATTGCTCACCTAGTTTGTAGGGATTCCAACCCACAGGCACGGCCCTGAAGGCGGAGCTCGGGGCCAGAGGCCCAGCTCCCAGACACACCTTGACGGTTCTCCCAACCTGCATCTGGCTGGCAGGTGCCCCTCGCAGCTTCCCTGGTGCCATGCACGCCCCAGGATGGAACTCAAGAAATAAGCTCTCACCTTCCTCTCCCTCCAGGGGAGCAGGGGATGCTAACATTATCAGAGCACCTACTGTGGGCCAGGCCCTTTCCCCGAATTCTCTGTCTGGCTCCACAGACCTGGAAGACATGTCCGTCATGGTCCTGCGGACCCAGGGCCCCGCTGCCCTCTTCGATGACCACAGACTCGTCCTCCACACCTCCAGCTACGACGCTAAGCGGGCACGGGTCTTCCACGTCTGCGGTGAGTTCACGCCCCTCCCCCGCTGCCCAGAGCCAGAGGACAGCTCTGCCCAGGCTCCCGGGTGCCCTGGGGGCCAGAGGAACAGTCAGATGCGTGAGCTCTGGACCTGGCCAGCTGGCATCGCCAGCACAGCTGTGGCCCCAGGTTGTTTTATTGGATGAATAAATTTTTTTAAAATGTATTTTATTGATTTTTTACAGAGAGGAAGGGAGAGAGATAGAGAGTTAGAAACATCGATGAGAGAGAAACATCGATTAGCTGCCTCCTGCACATCTCCAACTGGGGATGTGCCCGCAAACCAGGCACATGCCCCTGACCGGAATCGAACCTGGGACCCCTCAGTCCGCAGGCCGACGCTCTATCCACTGAGCCAAACCGGTTTTGGCATGGATGAATGAATTTTTAAAATGTATTTCAAGCATGTTTAGAAATGTTTGCTCTCAAAATATTTCAAATGTGCACAAAAGCAGGGAGAACAGTGTAACGAACCCCCAGAGGCCAACCCCTCAGATTCAGCAGTGGTCGCTCTCCATCCTTCTTCACCTATTCCTCGCTGTTTACCGAGGTATTCCTCAGCCAGTCCTGGCACCACGGGCATTGGCCCTGCAGAATTCAGTGGGCATTTCCCGGAGAAAAAAACCATGACTATTGCTTTACATAGCCACAATGCCATGATCGCAAGTCCAAGCAAGGATGTAGAAGACCTTTAAACAATACAAATGGACACAAGTAATAAGATGCTCACTTTTTAAAAAGACCAAACAATATAAAAGCATCTAGAGTCCCCTATCCCTAACCCTAAACCTGACTCTTAAAATGTGTTCGCTGTTAAGGATCTGGTATGTGTTCTAACTGCTCTTTCTGTATGTACTAAATGTGCCTGTGTGTGTGTGAGTGTGTGTGTGTGTGTGTGTGTGTGTGTGCGCATGTGCGTGTGTGGTGTGCATATTCTGCTTTCCAACCTGTTTCTTTCACTGAACTATATATATACTTGACCCCTCTTTCTGTGTATTTATCTGGTCTGCTTCATTCTTTTTAAAAAATTTTTTTTAATATATTTTATTGATTTTTTACAGAGAGGAAGGGAGAGGGATAGAGAGTTAGAAACATCGACGAGAGAGAAACATTGAGAGAGAAACATCGATCAGCTGCCTCCTGCACATTCCCTACTGGGGATGTGCCCGCAACCAAGGTACATGCCCTTGACCGGAATCGAACCTGGGACCCTTGAGTCTGCAGGCCGACGCTCTATCCACTGAGCCAAACCGGTTAGGGCTGCTTCATTCTTTTACCCAGCTCCATAGCATCCCGAAGCACAGAGATGCTGTAACCCACCCTGTCCCCTGGGTCATTCGGCTGCTGATTTTATAATAGGTTCATTGAGGGCAGGGACCTAGCTCATGGCTGTATCCTGAGTCCACAGCCGTGCCTCAGAGGTACATAGTAGGTGCTCAGTAAATGTGTGTTCGATGAACATGTGAATAACCAGTGAAGACCCTTGTGTGTGTATTTTGTAGGAAAGGTACCTAGAAGTGGAATCGCTGGTTAGGGGGCATCTAACACATGACTTTTTCGATGCCGCCCCCAGCCTGGCCCACACGGTGTATTAAGCATCTTTCCCCCCTTTGCCAGTGGGAGGTGAGGTGCAGGGATTGTCTGGCCTGCATTTTGGGTGAGGTCACACGGCTCTCCTGCATCCCTCACGCTCCCCGGGCCCAGCAGGGAGCCACAGCTGCTTCTCTGGTCCCCTCCCAGGTCCCGAGGACTCGTGCGAGGCCTACAGGCATGTGCTGGGCCGGGACAAGGTGTCCTACGAGGTGCCCCGCTTCCACGGGGACGAGGAGCGCTTCTTCGTGGAGGGCCTCTCCTTCCCCGACGCCAGCTTCTCGGGGCTCGTCTCCTTCCACGTCACCCTGCTGGACGACTCCAATGAGGTAGGGGTTGCCGGGCAGAGAAGCAGACAGAAAGGCTCTGTCCTGCGAGAGACGGGTACTGCTGGTGGGAAAGACCCAGACTGCCTCCCCCGCCCCGCAAAGGTCCTCTCTAGAACCTGAGACGAAGGCTTGCTCAGGGCCCTCGGGTCTGAGTGAGCCTGGGCTCTGTCCTCTCTGCTCTCCCCCTGCAGGATTTCTCCGAGTCCCCGATCTTCACTGACACGGTCGTGTTCCGGGTGGCCCCCTGGATCATGACGCCCAGCACCCTGCCGCCCCTCGAGGTGTACGTGTGCCAGTGAGTCTGGGGAACACGGGTGTCCTTCCGACCCTGGTGGCCCCCCTGGCCTGGTTCTGTCCTGAGCCACTCTGCCCGGGCTTGTCTGCAGGGTGAGGAACAACACGCAGTTCGTGGACGCAGTGGCGGAGCTGGCCATGAAGGCCGGCTGCAAGCTGACCATTCCTGCCCGCAGGCCGAGAAACCGAAATGACCCGCTGGATCCCAGGGTACCCGCGGCCCACCGGGCAGTGGCCCCAGGCCAAGAACACACAAGCCCTGAGGGGGAGGGCTGGCCCCTTCCTCCCACCGGGGGGGGGGTGGGGGCTTAAACGGGGAAAACACCCCAGGGAAGGACCCTGGGCGGCTGGAATCGCCCCTCCCCCGGACACTGGCTCCTTTCCTCAATTATTAGGAGGACACTGCTCTTTTCTCACTATAGACCTAGGGCTCGCCCCCCTCTCTCCAGAACTTTCTGGAGACCCAGAGAACACACTGACGCTGGATTCAACACCCCATTCACCCCAGGATCTGGGCTAGGCACTGGGTTGGCCACACACGCCCTGCCCTTAGCAGCCTAGACCAGTGGCCGGCAAACTGCGGCTCGCAAGCCACATGCGGCTCTTTGGCCCCTTGAGTGTGGCTCTTCCACAAAATACCAACTTCTGCGCATGGGCCACGAAGTTTTAATCGCATTGTACATGCGCACCTGCATGTGATATTTCGTGGAAGAGCCACACTCAAGGGGCCAAAGAACTGCATGTGGCTCGCGAACTGCGGTTTGCCAACCACGGGCCTAGACCAGTGGTTCTCAACGGATGGCGATTTTGTCCCCCGAGGGATAGGGAGCTGTCGGAGGCATTTTAGATGGCCACACGGAGTGGTGATGCTACTGGCTTCTGGCCCCTATGGAAAGGAATGACCTGGCCCCAAATGTCAATAGAGCCGAGGCTGAGAAGCCCCAAGGTGGTAAAATCCCAGCTCTCACCATCTAAGATGCGCCAGGGGCGCCAGCAAAGTGCCAGCCGGCTTTGCAGGAGGTGGCATCACCTCTGTCGGGGGATCAGTGATGGCCTCCAGGAGGAAGGGCATCTGAGCTGGACCAGACTTGGCAAATGGATGGGTAGTGACTTGTGCCATTCAGTGAGCGCTTACTAGCCATGTGTCATTGCCATAGTGTCACTCCATCTTCTTGACAACTCCCTGTCATTACCCACCTGAGGGGGCAAATGCCCAGGGCCAAACAGCTGGTAAGGGCCATGCTGGGACTCAGGGGATGTGGTCCTGGCCGCGGAGCAGCATGTGCAAAGGCCCAGAGGTAGGAGGCAGGAGAAAGAATGTCACGAGCTCACTTTGGCCAGGGCCAAGGTTCTGTCAAGGGTAAGAGTTGAGGAGGGAGACCTTGACTGCCAGGCTAGGAGCTGTCATGGCTGGAGGTTCACCCAATGAACCAAGTTTATCTAATGAGACAAGTTGGATTGGATTCTGGCTGTGCTGCTGACTGGCTGTGCACCCTTGGACAAATAACTAGACCTCTCTGTTCCTCGCTTTCTGCTTTCCTCGTCTGTAACACGGGGTAACAATAGTGCCTCCACATAGGCGTGTCAGGGGGATTAATGGAGTTAATATCCATCAAGAGCTGAGGGCAGGGCACATAACAGTGAGCTTCTCATTGGGTTTGTAGGTTGTCTATGCTGGGCCATCTTTGCCTCCAGGACCAGAGGGGTCAGAATTGGCCTGGGCACGTTTATGAGTCTGAGAAGGAGGCAGATCTGTATCTCCTCAGGTCCCCTCAGCCCTGTCAGCGGTCAACCCCTCATGACTACGTGTGGAGGCCAGAGGTGCTGGATGACACCCAGAGCCTTCCTTGTCCAACTTGGGCCACCCTGAGTCCTTCTCTGTGTCCACTCTGCCCTGACCAAGCACGGGGACGCCCCCAAGGTCATGTCCGTGTTCTTATTCATTCCTGGCCTTTCTTGCTGTGTGACCCTAGGCAACTGCACTCCCTCTCTGAGCCTCTAGCACCTCCTCCAGCCAGCAGGCATCACGACCCCCTCCTCCTTCACCCTCAAGGACAGAGTTCCCCAAGGCAGAGAACGCCCGTGCGCAGTCTCCCCTGACGTGCCCTGTGTCAAGCAAGCGTGGGAAGTTGTTGGCTGTCCCCAGCTGGGCGTCTCTCTCGTTCGCAGGACGAGATGGAGCTGGGCTATGTGCAGGCGCCGCACAAGACCTTCCCGGTGGTCTTCGACTCCCCCAGGAACGGGGAGCTGCAGGACTTCCCTTACAAGAGAATCCTGGTGAGTGGTCCAGGGGGCAGCCCAGCCCTAAGGGTGCATGGACATGACTCCGAGGGCCACACCGGGGTGTGGAGGACAGGGGGCAGCGCCGGGAACCACTATCTTTAACAACAGGAGTAGCGTTGCCAGGTAACATATAGGAGATGCCCAGTTAACTTTGGATTTCAGATAAGCAATGAGTATCTTTTTGGTGAAAGTATCTCCCCAACATTGCATGGGACGTACTTATACTAAAATATATTTGTCGTACGTCTGGGGTTCAGATGTAACTGGGCATCCTGTGTTTCTATTTGCTCAGTCTGGCAGGGGGAGCAGGGCAGTGCAGCTGCTAAGAACACAGGTTTTGGCGCCAGAACCACTCGGCTCTGCCACTCACATGCTGTGTGACCTTGCCTGAGTCACTTTCCCTCTCTGAGCCTCCGTTTCTTCTTCAGTGGAACTGATATGCTAGCCCTGGCCTCACAGGTGTTTGGAGGCTTCTCTGTCTGTGCAGAGGGAGTCTGCTGGTGTTGTTGGTAATAGGGTAACCGTGAGGGTGATGGGTGCTGACCAGGATCTCCTTGAGGAAGGAGAGGAGATTCCATTGGTGCCTAGAGCATGGGGGCCCCTCCAACCCCCGCATGGATCACACAGGTGGTCGGGGCTCTCACCTCTTAACATCCTTCTGAGAGGTGGCCCGGGAAGCTCTCTCCTCTCCCACAGATGAAAGGCTGAGGCTCACAAAGCCATCACCAGCCTCGTGGTCCCCAGAGACAGGCCACTCTAGAGCAGCCAGATGCCTGCCCTGGGGCTGGACTTGGCAGAAAGTCTGTGCAGAGTAAGGGGGTGGCCATGGCCTCGGGCTCCGTGCCTAATGGGGGGTGCAGGAGCAGCCAGGGCCCTCTCTGCTGCCCCCCTGCGACCATGGGGAATGACATGCTCTAACATGGCAGCCGGGCCAGAGGGCCTGTGTGTGTCCCAACCTTGGCCCTTGTGCATACCTGAAATACTGACTAGATCAGATCCCAGTCTTTGACTCAGTATTTCCATCTGAAGAATGGGCAGCCACCCCTACCCCACCTTTAAGGAATTCGGAACCCAGAAAGTTGCTTCAAGCTCTTCATGATGGCCTTCTGCCCCCCTCAGCCACCCTGACTCAGTTTCCCCCATCAGGGTCCAGATTTCGGCTATGTGACTCGGGAGCCGCAAGACAGCTCTGTGTGTGCCCTGGACTCCTTCGGAAACCTGGAGGTCAGCCCCCCAGTGGTGGCCAACGGGAAAGAGTACCCCCTGGGGAGGATCCTCATTGGGGGCAACCTGCCTGGGTGAGAGAGGAGCAGGGAGAGGTGTTGCTGGGATGGAGGCTGAGGGTGGGGGTGGTGATGGTGGCTGGGGGTGAGGGGCTGTTCCACTCCTCACAGAGAACCAGAAAGGAGTAATAACCCTGTACTCCTGGATGCAGGGAGGAGGTGCGGCAGGGGAGGCAGTGGGCTGTTGACCAGACACTGTCCACAATTATCTGGGGAGTTTGAGAAGTAGCCTCAAGCAGGGCCCCAAGAGGTCATTCAGCCCTTTTATTTTACAAGTGGGCTCAGAGAGGGTGAGTGACCTGGGAAGGTAACACAGGATGCAAAGTTATAACTAGACTTAGGTCTTCCCATTCAGAAAATAGATGTTGCTACCAATTAAAAAAGAAGAAAAAGCTCTAAGTCTCACAGTCCTGGGAGAAACTGCATTTAAGTCAGAGCTTGTTTATACTATGATGTAAATGACTAATATAAAATCTTTTCCTGAGAGCAGGAGAAGGGAAATATAGGACATGAAAAGTGAAATGGCAGTAACACATGCAGAATAACAGATTATGTCTTATTTAGATGTAACACCTGGGTACCAATGGAAAAGAGAAGGGATTATATGATAACTAGAGGTCCGGTGCACGGATTCATGCACCGATGGGGTCCCTTGGCCTGGCCAGTGGGGATTAGGCCAAAACTGGCTCTCCAACATCCCCTGAGGGGTCCCAGATTGCGAGAGGGTGCAGGCCAGGCTGAGGGACCCCACCGGTGCACGATCGGGGCCTGGGGAGGGACCGAGGGAGGGTTCCAGGGTGTGTCTGGCCCTTCTCGCCCAGTCCCGATTGGCCAGACCCCAGCAGCAGCAAGCTAACCTACCCGTTGGAGCATCTGCCCCCTGGTGGTCAGTGTGGGTCATAGCGACTGGTCAAACAGTGGAGCAGTCAGATACTTAGCATATTAGGCTTTTATTATATAGGATGGTCTTTAGCTACGCAACAGACCAACACAGAGAGTGAACCCAATTCAGCAGAGCAGTTAGAACAGACTTGGGATCAAATAACAGGTGACTCAAGAAGCTTTGGGGGCTGGGGGAATACCTGCCCTCAGACATATGATCCCACAGAAAGAGGAAATTAGATCCTTTTTCAGAAGGCAAAGAAGAACGGGATTTAAATTCACAACCATGAAATGCTGGGGCCAAAAGGCCCCTCAGGGTGATCTTGTCCACCTCTCTCCCCACTGATGTGCAGAGCGTGAGGCTGCAGTGAGAGAAATGTAAGACAAATGCAAGGAAGGACCACCAGCCATGGGGGGTGGAATGTAGGGGTGAAGTCAGTCTCTTGGAGAATGTGAGGATGGGGTGCGAGGGCGGTTCTGAGGATTTGCCTGGATGGCGAGCCCTGGTGTGAGGACCTGTCCTGTCTGCCTCCTGGAGAACTTACCTTGGGATCACGTGCCGTCTGTATGCATGCATGTATGTATGGTATTTCTTGCTTATAAAGGCAATGCATGCTTTTTGGTAGATATTGCAGATACCTTGAACTCTTGTCTTTCCATTTCTGCATAGATTTTTTTTTGAGTTAAGCAACCCCTTTTTAAACCCCTTGGGCCCCAGGTCAAGTGGCCGCAGGGTCACCCAGGTGGTGCGGGACTTCCTCCACGCGCAGAGGGTGCAGCCCCCCGTGGAGCTCTTTGTGGACTGGTTGGCCGTGGGCCACGTGGATGAGTTTCTGAGCTTCGTCCCGGCCCCCGATGGGAAGGTAAGGACTTGGTGACATGACTGTTGGCGTCTGGGCAGGGGATGAGCTCCAGGGCCCATGCTGAGGAGTCTGCCCTCTCCACGCAGGGCTTCCGAATGCTCCTGGCCAGCCCCGGCGCCTGCTTCAAGCTCTTCCAGGAAAAGCGGAAGTGGGGCCACGGCAGGGCCCTGCTGTTCGAAGGGGTTGTTGGTGGGTACCACTGTCCCTCCTCACAGCCTTCCACCCCTCCACCGAAAGCAAGACACATCGTGACTTGAGAGAGGGATGGCAATGTTAAAGCAGGGCTGTCCCCCCCCGCCTCCCCCCCCCAGATTCAGGAGCCCTCACCCCTGCCACCGCTCGCCCTGCTCCCCCAGCCACCATGGGCCACGGCGGGGGCAGAGCTGGCAGGGAACGCGTGGTGGATGATGGGCTTGGGATGGGCAGGGACAGCGTGGAGACAGGGCCAGCCTCATGGGCATGCGACCAGCAGTTAGAACAGACTTGGGATCAAATAGCAGGTGACTCACCTGCTGGTCGCATGCCAGTGGGGATTGGGCCAAAACCGGCTCTCCGACATCCCCCGAGGGGTCCCAGATTGTGAGAGGGTGCCCCCTTGGAGGGCAGGGGCAGGGTTCAGTGGTGGGCAGGTGGGTGGCCCAGCCCTGCCCCTCCATGAGACCAACGAAGAGGAATCATCACCCAGTGCCCCGCGGGGAGAGGGTTTGTAAATTTCCAGTTTTAGGCATTACCACTTCCGATGAACTCATGTAAAGGTCTGAGTTCCTAGCGCCGTGGTCCCCGGCCCCTCCCGCCCTCCCACACCCAGACTTGCCCCCGTGGCCAAGCTGAGCTCGGCTGGCTGGTGCCCACCAGCCAGAAAGGCCAGAGAGATGCTGGCTCTGCCAGACCAGTAGCTGCGCACTTGGCCCCTGCCGGCTGCTTCCCAGAGCAGGGCCCTCACGGCTGGCGCTGTTCCTGTCCCTCCCCCGCTCCCCTCCTCTCGCCTTCACAGGTAACAACCAGGTCACCACCATCTCCATCAACCAGGTCCTCTCCAATGAAAACCTCATCAGCTACAATAAGTTCGTGCAGGTACAGTGTCCCCATTGGCGGAACCCAACCGGAAGCCAGTGGCACGGGAGACCTGATTCTCCAGGATGGGCCTCCCAGGCATGGAGCAGAGGTGTACAGAGTGTCTGCAAGGACACACGGTTCTCCTGGGCCCTGTAGGCACAGATGCCAAGATGGGGTTGGACAGCAAGGCTTGTGTCAGGGACCGTGCCTGTACCAGGAGAGAGGGGGGGCTGGGGGAGACGGAGGGGCTGGCCCTGAGTGCAGGAGGAGGCAGGCAGGCTGAGAGACAGACACTGGGGAGTCGTCAATCTCCATGGTGTTCAGACCGTGAGACTGAGGGAGTTCCCTGAGGAGGGAAGGGTCTAGCGAAGGAAGAGGGTCAAGGATGGAACCCTCTGGAACGCTCCCGTGTTGAGCCCGAGAGTGGGACAGGACTGTGAGGAGGGGGACACAGAACAGTATATTTGACGAAGGGATGCAAAGATAAGGTTCGTGTGGAGAGTTGATCCATTGGCACCTGGGCCTTTCCTTAACCAGACATGACCCCATGGGGCCTGCAACACACGTGGCAGGGGCTCCCCAACTCTGCCTCCCTCTCTCCCCAGAGCTGCATCGACTGGAACCGGGAGGTGCTGAAGCGGGAGCTGGGCCTGACGGAGCGGGACATCGTGGACATCCCGCAGCTCTTCAAGACCGAGAGGAGAAAGGCGGTGGCCTTCTTCCCTGACTTGGTGAGGCCGCCCCCCGTGACCTAAGGTTTCCTCCAGTTGGGCGTCTAGCCTCCCCTCTGCAGAGGGGCACGCTGCATGGTCGCTGCCATGGTTGGGGTTGGGGTTGGGGTTGGGGTTGGGGGTGGGGTGGCGGAGAGCAGCAGGGTCCCATCATGGCCGGCAGAAGGGCTGCTAGTTGGCTGATGGTCATGGTCACTACAGATGCTCACTGGCCACGCCCCTTGCTCAAGGGCCATCAGGGAAGGCCCCGCCCTGCTCCCAGGGACCCCCTTGTATTTGCGGAGTGAACAGATGGTTACCTGAGGAGGTGTGTGTAAAGCCCGTGACATCAGCTGGGCCGAGGTCCCATTCTGCTCCTTGTCCCGGCTCACAGCGCTTCATCCATCCCCCACACATTCAGGCACCCTGTGGGAGAGACAGGGATGATGTAGGCTGCTCCCTGCTCTCACGGAGCTTCCAAGCTAATCCCGAGATGAGAAACCTCCCCTCTCTGAGGACCTGTCCGAATGATCTATCTTGTATGATAAAGTGATGTGGTCGTTCAGAGGTTGGACAAAGCACTTGCAGCCTAAGAGGCAGGGCTGAAAATCCAAGAAGGCTTCATGGAAGAAGTGGCCTTTGGTTGAGCCCTGAGGGTTCAAAATTTGAACTTGCATCTGGAATGCCTGGACCACTGGGGCTCCACCCAGGGGTTCTGATTCAGCGGGTCTGAGGCAGGGCCTAGATACTGCTACCTTTCCAACCAGGACCCAGGTGCCACCCATGCTGCTATCTGAGGACCGCACATTGAGTAGCACCACTGGAGGTCACCCAGTTCCCCTCCCTCCTTCTCTTCCCCTCCCCCCTCTACCCCCTCCTTCTCCGTCCTCCACCCCCATCCTCCAGAGAAGCACAACTTTCCCATCATCAGAGCCTTGCAGAGAAAGCCTGTCCACATCGCCATTGCTTCATCCCCTTTCCTTCCTCTTCCTGCCTTTTTGCCTTCCTCCATTTCCCCACCTGCAAGGCCTCTCATCACTCCCCTTCCTTCCTGCACGTTCAGGGTGGCCTTGCAGTTGTGTATGTGCTCCCAGAGCTTGTGCACAGGTTCAGACGCTTGTGTTTGCGGGAAACAGAGGGCCACCCGAGCCAGCCTCAGCCAGAGAGGACGGTGTAATACAAGGACACCTGGAACCATCTCCTATCTCTGTGTCCATTTCCATCACTCATCCCCTCCCTCTTCCTTCCTCTCCCCACCTTCAGCATGGCTTCCTTTGCCTCTCTGTCCCTGGGGATGAAAATGAGTAGGACCACGCATTAGAGATACAGGCACAGAGATTGACTTGGCTCCTGCCACATCAGCTTCAAATGTCCGAGAGAGAGAATCTGATGGGTCCCGCTGGGCTCAGATGTCTACCTTGACCCACAGGCTAGGAGGTGGGAGTTGGTAGCACAAGTATGGCAGCCACCACAGTCCCCCAGTAAGAAGAGCAGTTACCAGAGAGATAAGTGACTGTGAGCCGGGCAGACGCTCCATGGGGATGCACAGCTGGCTAGGGTTCCTGCCAGCCCATGTTCCTCTCCCGCTTCTTCAAAGGGCGAGTAGTGATTTTCAAGGTTGTCTCAGAGACAAATTCAGGCCCTACCAGGTCTAGGGAAGGTGTCGGGGTAGGAGTCAAGGATGAACTGCCGCCCCTGACCTGGGACCTCCCGCTCTGCAGGTGAACATGCTGGTGCTGGGCAAGTACCTGGGCATCCCCAAGCCCTTCGGGCCCATCATCAACGGCCGCTGCTGCCTGGAGGAGAAGGTGCGGTCGCTGCTGGAGCCGCTGGGCCTCCACTGCACCTTCATCGACGACTTCACCCCGTACCACATGCTGCACGGGGAGGTGCACTGCGGGACCAACGTGCGCCGGCAGCCCTTCTCCTTCAAGTGGTGGCACATGGTGCCCTGAGCCTGGCCCCCGGGCGTCCTCTCCCCCTGGGGTGGGGCATGGGCTGGGGTGATGGAGACTGAGACAGGCCCCTAAGGAAGTGTCAGGAGACCCCAAGTGTCCAGCTGGAATGCCGAGCGGGACCCGCCCCTCTCAGAAGCCGTTTTCCTGCAAGTGTCCACGCCTCACCAGCAGTCCATTTGGTTCTCAGGCTTGATGCCTCCTGGCCTTCCAAGGGGGACCTCATTTCTTGTGGCCTCTCACGCAAATCAACGCGGCCCATGGGGACTCCTCCCCACCCCCAAAGCCTTCCCGTAGAGCCAACTTCTCTTTGAGGTCTAGAAACATCCAGGCATCTCACCTGCCCTTTGGCCTGTGTGTCCGATGGAGGAAGGACCCATGATTCCGCTCTGGTCTGATTGCCTCTCTCTCTTTGCAAGGGACCAGCCCCAAAGTCAGTTCTCCCCCCAGCGGAGGGATTCCGCCCATAGCCTCACCCGCAGAGAAGGCGCTGGGAGCCCACTTTGCTTGAGGGGGGACCACCACTCCAACTGCCAAGCTCCTGACCAGATCTTGAACTGTACCTCACCCAGTGCCCAACATAAGCTTTCTCGTAGTAGGAGCTCTTGGTGTGGGTTGAAGAAATGATAGTTGTCCCTTAGCTTTATAAACTCCCCATCATCTGCCATTCAGAAATCCGACTTTGTGCACAAACCTCCTGGGATTTCTTGGAGATGAAAGTATCTGGGGAATTCCTGGAGACTGGGAGGACTGTGGGTGCTGGAGCGAAACATCCTTCCTAACTCATAGGTGCTTCGTTGGCCCAGGGACCTCCCTCTGCAGGTGGGGACACACCCGGCAGGATTTAGCCCTGCTACGCCTCAGAAGGGGCCGACAGGGGTCCAACCCGTAGAGACAGCGCTGGTAATGAACCCTCTGAGTGCAGGGGGAGAGGGAGAGAGAGCGGTGGTTTTCTCCAGATGTGTGTCAGTTACACATGTGTTCTGTATGGGTCCAGCTGTGTTTCCATCACTGGCTAATAAACCTACAGTATCACAAATGGTTTGTGTCTAATTTTGGCCCTTCTCTGGGGTTAGAACAGGACAGTAAGAACTGTTGCCTGCAGCTGAAGCATTGGTCTGCCTGGCCCCCGAAGAATTTGGGGCGCCAAGCCCAGGTTTTAGGAAACTACTAGTATGAGACTGCTCTGCCTTGGCCACAGGGTGGGTAGGGCTGGCAGGGACACATCAATGCAAGCGCAGGGGTCAGACGCTAGGCTGCAGGACCAAGTGAGCGTGGCAGGGCAGGGGGCTGGGCTTGGCCGGAAGGTTGCATTGTGAGTGTGGCAATGGGGGAAGCTGATGTGTGTGGCACATGGGGCAACCTGCCTCGGGCCCTGGGCAGCTTCCCCTTCCTGCCCCTGGGGAGGCCTCAGGAGCCCCTAAAAGGCCAGGCGAGCTTGCTACAGAGCCCAGGAAATCACTGCCTCTGCTCTCACCGCCCCTGATAGCTTTATCCACTCCCCATCAGGCTGCCAGTCAGAAATCTGGCTTTGAACCAAAACCTCCTGGAGTTTCTTGGAGATGAGAGTATCTGGGGGATTCCGGGAGATTGGGAAGACTGTGGGCAGGGCAGTAAGAACAGTTGGCCCTGGGATGGGCAGGATGGGCTCGGCCATGTCCAGGCACTCTGCCCATACACCACAGGCTCTAGGTGAAGCAACACGGCACAATGGAAAGGCCATGTGCCTCAGAGTCCAATGGTCCCATGCTGAACTGGTACTCTCAGCTGTGCACTTAACCCCTCTGAGCCTCAGTTTTCTCCTCTGCAAAATGGGCATAATTGTGCCTGCCCCACAGAGCTTGCATGGGGTTTAAGTGACATGTTTAGTGACATGATTTAAGTGCCTGGCACATAGTAGGTGCTCCATAAATGATGACTATTGCTATGTAACATCCCCCAGACACTCCTCTAGCCACTGCTCTTTAGAGAAATTCCTAATTCCTGCATTCTAATTGGGGACAAAGGTCCTTTGACCCAGAGGTCAGATGTGGAAGGGAAGGAAGGGAAGACTGTCCTGGCACCTTTCAGATCGCATCCTGCTGGTCTCGGCTTTAAGAGATGAATCCCAGAGGAGGCTCCGGCCCAGGCAGGAAGCAAAGGCCTGTCTTGTGAGGATTTACAGCTCTGGGTGGCACGGGGCCTGCCTGACTCACACTTTATTCAGAATTAGGAATAAGTGACTGCGGGGCCGTGGAAGGAGGTTGCCCAACGCTGGTCTCCTGCACCTTGGCCGGCGGCCCCGGAGGGCGGGGTGTCCGGCTGGGGCGGCTGGGATGGCTGGGGCTCAGGGCAGATGGCAGGAAAGGAATTCTGGATGACACACAGAGCCTGTGAAAACGGTCACTACAAAGTCAATGTCATCCCACAGCCCCTGCAGCGTAATGACGGTGGGTGTGCGCCACGTGCCGGGCATGTGCCGGCCATGTGCTGGACACTTTACACACGACATACATCACCTCCTTTGCTCATCACAACAGGCTAATAGGCAGTTACCATTACTACCGTCACATTACAGATGAGGAGACCGAGGCACAGAGAAATGAAGGAACTTGCCCGGGCCGCAGAGCGGTTAAGGGGAAAGACAGGTTTGAGCTTAGACAGGTAACCTCCACTGCCCGGCTTCTTAACCAGCCACTCCAGCGGTTCTCAGCCCGTCTGCGTATTAGAATCACCCGGAAGGCTTTATAAAGCGAGCAGGGTGGAGACCCCGCTCTCAGAGACTCTGTCTGTATATAGCATCAGTGACCCAACAATATTGTCCTCCTAAGCATCCCTCCCCCTCCTCCTCCTCCCTCGTAACCCGCCTCTCCATCAAGAATCAGCAACCATGAGGACTCCATGGCCACATGTGGGTGCAAGGGACTCTGGGAAATGCGGTCCTTGTCTGGGCAGCTGCCTCCCAGAGTGGAGTGCACATTATAGACAAAGGAAGTCTTTGCTGGCTGCCAGCCACTCCAAACCCAGGAGAGAGAGAGAGAGAGAGAGAGAGAGAGAGAGAGAGAGAGAGCCAGAAAAAAGGTCTCTTTCACGGAGGAGGCACCCCAGGTCCCAGCCTTTAGTTTTCGGCTCAACTTGCATTTCTATTCGTCTCATGTTGTCCCACCTTCAGGGAATTAGAGTCCTAGCTGCGGTCACGGTCACACGGTGCTGGCCCAAGCCCTGCAGGTCCCTCTCTGCCTGCTCCTCGCCCCACTCCCAGGCCCACTCCGGCTGCGGTTCTGGGGCTCACCATGTAAACAGGGTTACCTGGAGAGAGATTAGTGAGTCTTCGGGGGGAGCAGACAAGGCCCTCCTTAAGGGCCTGGTGGCTGATGAAGGTGTGGGGGTGGGTGTCTGGCTCTCCGGCTGCCCTGTGTGTGGCGATGAAGCAGCTGATGTGTCCATGTGGAAGTAGGTTGGGGTTCATCTGTCACCCTGGACCTGGCTGGGGCTCAGGAGTGAGAGTCTGCAGGTGGGAAAGGAACAGGAGCCGACCCCCACGCGCACTCTCGTTTCATGCATTAGGTGTTTACCGAGCACGTCCTGTGTACCCAGGCCGCCAGCACGTGCTGGGCTCTGAAGCCTCGGTTTTCTGCACGGCCATCCAAGGAGCCTGTTGCACACTTTTTCCTGATAATAAGCATTTTCCATTGATCTTTAGAGAGAGAGTGGAAGGGAGGGAGGAAGGAGAGGAGGAGGAGGAGAGAGAGAGAGAGAAAGAGAAAGGGAGAGAGAAGCATCGATGTGAGAGAGACACATCGAACCTTCAACCAAGGTATGTGCCCTTGACTGGAAATCAAACCCGAGACCCTTCGGTCCGAGGGCCAATGCTCAAACCACTGAGCCAAACCAGCCAGGGCTAATGATAAACCTTTTTTAAAGCTGAAGTTTCTGATACACTTTTTATGAGAAGTCTGCCTCCAGCAAAGCCTTGACCAGCAGGTGTGGGCACTTTCCACCCACTGGGAGGAGGGCTGTGGTGTCTCCCGTTCGTCCAGAATGATGTGCCCGTGGCCGCCACTCCCCTACAACTTGAAGCTCAAACAAGCAGTGGGCAGATTTCCACCAGGCCCAGGGCAGGCGAGGGGCGGGGCCCCCATTCCCCAAAGTGAATCACCCCCGTTCTGGGCACCGGACCTTGATCTCCCGGTTCCCAGCATTTTCTTGTGATGGTGGCAAGGATTAGGGATGGTTGCTCCTAGGATGCCAGGGACAGGAGTCGCCCTTGGAATTCCTAGAAAGGAACGCACAGCCGGAGCACCCAGTGTGGGCGCTGTCCCTGCGGGCGCTCGGCAGAGTGTCTGCCGCGACCCAGATGAAAAGAAACCACCGCTGAGCCTGTCTCTGAAGCAACTCCGAAGAGTTGAAGGCCAACATGAAAGTGAGTTCCGCAGTTTCTTCTTTGAACCATTCTCGGGTCTTTAAAGGAGTCTCCGCATCCTGAGAAACTGCACCTCAGTGTTAATTACATTAATCTGGAACATCCCAATCACAGAAATGATAGCTGCCCCAGGCAGTTCCCAGGGCTCCGGCAAGCAGGGGCCTGAGCGGGGCGGGGCCGGGCATCGTTCAGAAATGCGTTTTTATGTGAGTACACCGCCCAAGAAGGTACTGGACAGCTCAGTCATTAGAGTTCTGGATTTTTTTATTCACTTGATACAATCCTCAAGGGATGTGAGGCCACTTATAAAAAGTCAGCCAGCTGATGATTAAAAAGTATAGCAAAGTAAAGACACCCAAGCAGCAGAATCTAGGAAAGATGGGCCGGGGGAATCAATGTGGTTAAGATGAGAATGAGGAGCTGAGCTTCCCAGCAGCCCCTGCAGAGAAGGGAACCGGCATGAGCCATGTCACCCTCACTGTCAGGAGGAAGGCAGCCTGCCAACGACTCCTGCCTCACACCAGCCTGTGTGAAAGGCGCGGAGTGGTCAGTGTCCTCAGCGACCTTGCAGCGGCGAATCCGATGAGCGGTTTCCCGGGGCCGGGCCCTGTCTGCTC